AAAAAGTGTATTGCACTCCAGGGTGATTATATTGAAAAGTTAAGTGTAAATAATGATGAATAAATATGTTGATTGTGAAAAAATTCAAAATTCCTATTACTTTTCGAACACCCCTCGTAGAATGAATCCAATGAGAGATTTATTTCAGCGATTTGCTATCCTAATGGATATTTTCAATTATAAGGGGAAGGGTTTCCTGAGAGTTGTTGAGGAGGCCGCCTCTCTTGCCTCCCGTGACGAGCCGCCACTGACTCACACCATGGACTCGCCTTGCCATGGCGACGTACGCGATGTAATATAGAGCACTAGTGTTACCGGAGCCTCTAGACCAGATGGGTTGAGTTAAATTTCTAACTCGTTTGGCCTAGTAACATCATCTTTTGGTAGGAGGAATAAATATACTTTGCTTGATAAGATTGGAAACGATATTTCATATTGCGTGGCAAGATTGGTCGAAATGGTGCTACGGAAGAAGAGATTTCCACATTAAATACATTAAATTTTTTTTGCTTTAGTACTGCCAATTGCCATGCCCGATTTCCAGGGGGGGGGGGCAAGAATGCATCGACCTATCGTAACAGCCCTACTTGATACCCACTGCCCAGTCGCAGCGTGGCGTCAAGGTTGGGGGGGGGGTTTCTGCCCAATTTTGACATTGTTAGCAGACTTACCGGTACGCTGGTAGGAGGCTGCACGGCATAATATTAAATATAAATAATAAATTTACTTTTTAAATTGTTTAAATAAAGTAGATGCATAAAGTTGACGCTAACCACATAATAATAGTTTTAAAATATATATATTTAAATCATTGTGTTTTCTTGCACGGCGCACCCTCCCCCGCTGGCGCCCCGGGCGATCGCCCGCTTCGCCCGCCCCTAGAAACGGCCCTGAACCCGAACGGAGGAAAAAGTTTTCGACGGTCGGAGACTGAGGATTCATTCTGTCATTCTAGTTATCTGTGTATATCCCAGCAAACAAATTGAAACACAACGTCGAATCAACGTTGAATCAACATTGAATAAACGTTCGGAACGTTGATACAACGTTGGTCCAACGTAGCCTTGTTTGCTGGGATACGTGTCGATGTGATACGTTCTTCTCTCTCACCATTTGGGTGACTGGTCTGTTTGTCATGCATTCTGAAATATACTCTTGTTCCTGTTGTTAAACCATTTCGTATTTCATTACGGATCTTACCGGTACTATATTAATAATAAGAGTCAGATTATAATTAACAACACCCATATACGGACGTCAGGAACGCCCACACTCTCTTAGTTAATGAGGGCAAAACTTTTCGGTACTTGAGTATTGGAAATATGTCTTGCCAATATTCAAGTCGTCGTACCTCAAGAAGTACTTGGTCTTAAAATTTGTATGAATTGCTTTCTTAATGGGCCTACAAGCCCATCATGTTTTATAAGAATTAGAGATCAGGTATATGGCTGTGTTGATTTAGTATGGCATGATTCTTCGGCGCGTGCAATGGCAAGTTCTGACCAGCGGGTTCGCTTCCAGGATCCGACAACTCTGCTACTCCACTTCTATTGCAGAGGAGCAGCGTGGTGCGAGCTCTAGGTCCAGTCCTACCTTTTTTTGGCAACTAAAGGTGCAGCGTTGAGGGGTTTGGGGGAATTTCGCTCTCGGATGCCCAGTATAAGATCTCATTTCGTGAAAGGAAGTGGAAGCCTTTGAAGGAAATTATCGTCGACTTTTAAAATGACGCGTGAGTTTTGCTAAACCTCCGATGGATGGATGACAGGCAGTCATAGGCATTGACTTATGCTTGTAGTGCCTAGCCTATATTGTTTAATTGAGTTCAATCATTCTTCACATGCCTTAGGTTTGATGAATTTCCTTTAATCGCCTCCTTCGTAGGACTATGCAAACAATAATTTATTTGGTTGTGAAAAGGTGCCGAACTCAATTAAGACGCCCTAACGTTAGTTCCAAGACCAAATATTAAGCTTACCTTTTAACTTGTCATGTTCACACTATCGCACTATGGTTGTTACAATGTCAAGCAAATGCTTAAGTAGTTCCATAACCTAACCACCTCTAGGTTAGGCTGTCTTAGACCTGGGATTAACTTAAATTCTCACTGGTCAACCGAACTTCCATGTTGCAATGTCTCCCAGTAATTACCAGTTCAACGATTACCATCTCTGAAGATAAGAAATGATGTCCTCCACTGGATCAAGCAGGATGAGTGAAATGAGAAACTAAGAAATCTGGAAATGTTACAATGGCACCATGAAGTGAATGCACCTTTTTTTCATTTTAAATAACACCAGGCCTTCTATGAAGAGATCTAAGTCTAACTTTAAAGTGAGGTTTAGCCCCAGTGTTGAGTCAAGTGAAACTAGGTCTAAATCATCTAAATCTTTACTGCACTTCTCAGGGGGTAACCAAAGGGAGCTGGCAAGGCTGAAGAACATAAAGAAGTCTCAGGAGCAACAGAAGAAGAAGGGTGCCAATGAGAAGGACGGCAACAAAGGGATGTCCTTGGAAGAACGTCGTCATAGGTGATTTTTTATAACCCTCTTCAAGTTACTATTTTTCTCTTTGAAACATCTCTCTCACACTGCCCAATCCTTCAAAAAGATGTGTTGCCAAGACTGGATTAAAACCTAAAGCCTAAGGCATACTTTTCCATGGTGCAATCCATTGAGTTATAATAGCTTGCTTGGGTAGGACATAACCCAAATGTCTCTAGTATATGTACCCATTGCAGAATTATGACTGTACTATCAGGTTCTGTCTTTTCCTGCAAGATTAAAACAAAGTTCTCTTGAGCTGAGGCATACTCCAATATCCTCTGCTAACACTGGCCTTCAGATTTGTGCAACTAGCTTTAGGGCTATTGTGCTTTTCTTGCATCAAGGTTCAGGTAGGGACATCAAATGACATTTTTTCTCAGTATGATATCCAATATCAAGGTCAAGCATTCATATCCTCTCAATGTCCAAGCATCATCTCACCAAAATCTACCATCTTGGAGATAGTTGTCTGATAATCTGCATTTTGTTTGGCTTTTTTTAGTGACTATAATTAAGAGCTGTCACCACTATTTTGTACTGATTAAAATCAGTAATGATTTTGCTAACTAGCTAGCAAGAGTCATTGAAATGACTGCTCCCTTTCCAAAAAATAAAAATTGATGGGTCACAAGTGTGTCCTTCAGGTATTAGGAGGATATGGAATAGGATAGGCTAACCCTTCTATAAAAATGTAAAAAAAGAAACATTTTTTTGGGGGCATATCTAAATGCTGTCTGGTTGTTTGCATCTTTTTTTCCCTTTTTTTTTTCCTGTTTTGCCCTTGAAGACCTCTAACCTCTTAAAACTAGATGTGGGAGTGAAAGTCACCACATCATGATTGAATGTGTTCCATGTTTTCACAAACCAACAAGTAAAAATCATTCCACAACCAGAGTATCACTTGCTTTTATTCTAACAGATGCTCACAAATTCTAATAATATGAAATCAGTTCCTCATTTCACTTCATTTACATTCAATTATGGCTGCTTATAGGTTTGTGAAACACCCAATTGGTCTAATTTTTTTTATTGCTGAGGATTGTAAATCTGAATGTAACCAATCACAGCATATCCACACATTCTCTTTATAACCCCTTTCTATTTCTCTCAGCATGCACAACTCATCCATGTCACTTTCAACTCCTCTGGAGGAATGAATTGAGATTTTCTCCTCAACTGGAAGTTTAGAGCTGGAGCTGCTCTGGTGGAAGACAAATTTGCTTATAAGGAAACTTCTTTTTTTTTTAATACTAGAAATAGGCCCTGCCATAGAAGTTTAGCAATGCAGCTTGAGCATTGATGCTTCCACTATCATTATTCACTTATAAGTGAATAAGTGAGTGTTATTGTTCTTTTAGAGGCAGAGCCAATCAAAACTCCAAACATATTGCATGGCTTTTAATTGCTATAATTTTTCATTCTATGCTTCCAGGCTGAAATTTGGAAAGGAATTCAAGTCTCATCACAGTTAATAATAGTGTGGCAGTTGGAAAAACTAGCAAATGAAATGGATTGTCGAAAATTTTTATTCTTTACTCTGGGGATCTATGAGTCAATTCTCCATACAGGATCTCTTAGGGAGCATTGAGGCAGGTCATTGTGACAGTCTGCACAAGGCCACAATCCATCCCAAATTCAACATGCAAATCCTCACCAGGCACAGCCAAATGTGTGCTCCTCAAACCAATCTACAAGGTGCATTGAAAAGGTTCTGATCTGATTGTAAATTTATTTATAGGAAACTATGCCACATTATTCAACATCATCTCTTTTTTTTTTTTAATAGTATCAGAAATGTCATATGTTCACCACACTGGGAAATCAGTGAACCCATAGCAGCTTCACTGTATACTATTTTCCCACACAAGTTAGTGAAGATACAAAAGTCTTTGGGGCATAAAGATCATTGTGAATGTCCACCATTTTCTTCCCATATGATGACACAAAGCCTTATTTGTTTTTCCTGAACTAAACCCTAAACAAGCACTAAACTTAATCTTGAAACTTCATAATCACACTTAACCTGAATGACCTTACATCTTTTGCATCCTATGGAAAGCATTGAAGAAATTAACTCTGTGGCCTCATTCTTCTGCATCTGGCTGCATGAGACTGGTCTACCTCTAGTGTGACTATAGAATAGATACATTCATGTACATAGTGGCAAATGAAATTATTCTATGGTCAAATTTTTCTCTCCCAACTGGAAGGTAGTTGTTTTGATTTTATGCAGGGATGCTGAGCAGATGCGAGAGAAGCAGCGTCTGGCAAAAGAAAAAGAAGCTGCAAGTGGGAACAGCAATAATGCTGACAGTGGTAACAAAAACAAGAAATGAATGCAGATCTCTTCTTCAGCTGCCTCCTCCTTTGCACCTCATCAATTATTCCTGCATTCTCATAAATTCTTGACTATATTTCATCATTATGCTTCATTGTCATTGCTTAGATTGGTCAAAATAGCACAACCTATGAGTGTGAATGAGATTTTTCTTATGCATCTGCAAGATGCTTTCAGTGACAAAGTACGGATGGTGACATCGTTTGTAATTGCAGATACCACATGAAAATGTAGATATAGGATGTTTCCAGACAGCAGCCTGCAACTGAATTCTTACAAATTATAGTTATTTGCTTTGAATATTCAGTGAGGTGGTAGAAGAGTGTACACCAACTTGGAATGGATTGTTAATCAATGCTTTAGAGTCAATGATTAATGGCCCAGTTTTTATAACATTGATTTTCATTGTTACTTTGTTGTATTTTTCTGTTAAATTGAATATTTTAGGTCTCACCAATTAACCATTTTTCCAATAAGAGCCTTTACATAAATTAACCCTTTTCCATACAACTTCCCACCATTACAAATTCAAAAGTTTTCCAGCTTCTGTGTGCTCTATGTGCTCCCTGGTGAGCCTAGCAAGCCTGCAATGTGCATCTCTGTCTGGGAGCAGCATATATTACCAGTGGGTTCAAGGGACAGATTCCCAGTTCTGCCATTTAGCAAAATTTTAGCAGTGAGGAAGCTCTTCCACAGGTTTTTTTTCTGATGGGCTGGCAATATGATTTGTTCAAACAGTAAAAGTTACTTATCAAATAAAATTAAATAACTCATTTCAAAATGGATGAGAGAGCAAGAGTCATATCATTTAGCATATGTCATTAGTATCCATGAAGGGGAGCATATCAAAAGATCGAACACTTATTCATCAAAAAAAGCATAGCTGAAAACTCAAAGTGTCGATTTATCAAATGGACAAAACTCCAAATATAGAATAAATTTGTCATAATATTTCGCCAAAGCAAAATCTTTTAGATGAAAACTGATTTTCATCTGAACATCAAAATGTAGAAAAAAGAGCAATTTTGGAGTTGTGTGTTTCATCGCAAACATCAGTGTTGAATAGTCATATGAAAGACATCTGTATGTTGCATTTTTAAAAAAGAAAAAGAAGAAACAGAGGAAAGCCCTCTCAAAAAAAGACATTTTTTGATGGGGCAGGATGAACCCATCCAAGTAAGTACTCTGCAGATGGGGACTTCATATATTTGGTCCATCTGTATCACAGCCATATGCCTGCAACAAGGCATATGGCTGGCATTTTTACAGTATTTCTTCCCACAATTCGTCCTTGGAAGAATATCAATATCACAGGTTCACTTTGTAACTTGATAGTCTCTAGAGCAGTGCTTCCCAACTCAGGGTTGCGACCCCATTTGGGATCGTGAACCAGCAACTAAAATCAAGTCATGTTTTTCTTTCCGATTTTAGTGCATAGGTGGGGGGAGTCTGTCGAACTTCAGCCAGTTCTTGGGGTCCTGAATGGTATGATCGTGATTTATGGGGTCGCGTGTGAAAAAGGTTGGGAAGCCTTGCTCTAGAGACTTGGGAGTTTATTGAAGCACCTGCTCAATGTTTCACATCAGCCTGATGAGTAGGGAATGACGACTTCATGGAAATAAAAAGTTGGATGCAACTAGGAGCCAAATGCCTTACAGGTGTAGAAGCATTATTGGGTTAACACAAAAATCGAAATCCTAGCGTGTTCATAATTTATATGGTTCAATGATTTTTCAATCCCTAACTTTGTTCCTTCAGAAAGGTATATGTCACAAACTTATCCTACCCTTGTGGATAGTTGATCACTTCTAATATGATTCAAATGCGCAATGCACATCGGGATTTAACTGGACTGTAGCCAAGGCAAAACTGAATACGTACATTAAAAAAGACGGCCAAAACAAAGAAAATAAAACCAGTATTTTTTCGGCTTTGTAAGCCTTTGGTGACCGAAACCTTTCAATCTTCAGACACTTCTATGAATGAATCCTTCAATGTATGGTTGTGTTCACTCAATTGTCTTTCGACAAAATGTCCATTCGTCGACATGAGTTTCGATAATTCAATACCAACCCTCCATGAGGTGCCAAAAAATTAAGCTGAGGATTGAAAATATGGGATCAGGTAACATGGCAGAATTGTATGCATCCTACACAAGATTTGGAGAGGGAATTATAAGTTGCTCAAAATTTGATATTGTAATCAAGCAGCCTACAAGCAAATTGATAAATTAGCAGTTCTGTGAATATCATCTCTGGACTGGAGCTGTGGATCAAGGTCCAAATGAAACACACAGGCCAACAGAAATGCACAAACCACTATGTACAGCGTGATGCAAAAATCAGTGGAAAAATCAGAAAAAACAACTTTGCCTAAAGTCTTTGTTTTTGTTTGACAGGTGTTAACTGAATACACTCAACAGAAATGCATACCAACCATACTGACACCAGAACAATAAGTTTGCTCTTTGTGCATTTTTCTCTCACTGTCCCATCAGAAACTGAATAACATGTTTGGTGATCGGATGGGGTGACACCTAAATGAGCTCAACTTGTTCTGGTGTCAGGATGGTTGGAATGCATATCCATTAAGCATATTCAGTCAGCACCTGCCAAGCAAAAACAAAGATTTTAGGGCTAAGTTGTTTTTCTCCTTTGTCAACTGACTTTTGTTGTCACTGTATATAATGCACACTGCTATATTTCCAAGAGAGTGATTGATGAGGGAAAAGTCATCACATTTGTTGGAAAAGTTCCACCAAGGTGTGGTCCTTGATCTTTTTGCTGCACTGGATGGAACATGAAGTGCTGCCTGAACAAGATTTGGAAGATGTCTCCCTGTATCAAATCTCTTCCCTTCCTATTTTCCATAAACCTTCCTCAATAAGCTCTCCATCATCTCATATTCCTACTCTTCTGTTTAGTTTCCCTTGCCTAACTTCTCCTCTCTCCTTTCCATTCCTTCTCTCTTTGTTTTAATTTTAATTTTATTTTATTCCCAGTCTTGTTCTTTTAATTGGGCACTACCCTTCCCAATAACCTGGTTATCAAGTTAGAGAACTTCCTTTCCTGCCAATGGACTTGTTCTGATCGTTTTTCTTATTAGTTTCCATCTACTAATCTTGTATTACTTGGTGAAAAGTAATTTTAGTGAAGTGCACTGAGCTGTACAGAGAGGTGGTTGCTCATCAACTTATCACCATTGACTCATTGGTAATTACCTTAGCACATAGGAGATCCAGGATTTGAGCAGCAGGTTGATTTCTCCTGAACTGACAGTTCACTCACCTGCTTTGGGGTGTCATCTATTCTTTTGGACAATAACATAAGTAACTTTGTGCCCAAAAGTATGGTAGGTTGAGCCTTCACCAAATTATGGTGTTTTCCAAGGGGCAAAGATTTTTCATTAGAGGTCTCTGTAATCTGATTCTGTGTATCTCAGGTTATGAGTTTTTCCTTTACGTTCAAAGGAATTATTATTAATGTGGACTTCTTATACATAGAGTCAAGCTCCTCCTCTCAAAATATCAGACTTTATTTTGAAATCCTATGACCCATTGATAAATCACAGTTTGCTAATGATGCCATCTCATATTTTGATAAAAATTATGTTATATTGAGAAAGATATCACCATCAGACCTATTATGTGCCTTTGGTTGGTTATAAGAATTTGGTGGTGCACAAAAAAGTATTGGCTTTAGATGTGCAATATCTCCCAAGGAAAAGTAGTTATTTTAACACATTCACTGCCAATCATCGAAAGGTTCACCCAACCTCTCCTTGCCTAGCATTTTCGTGCTGCTCAGAAAATGTTACTGTTAGAGACAAAAACATTTATTTCTCAAGAATGGTTCGATTGAGAAACCCAAAATTTGAAGGAAATTTTCAGACTGTGATATTTTCATCTAATACTCATATCTAATGACACATGAAAGTGAAATTATCATCAGTTCAGCAATGGATTATTCGCCATTGGACAGCCAATAGCTGGTTTACAAACGAATTTAGAAACCATGAGAATTTCAGTTAGGGTCATGAAAACTTCTCAAGAATATTGCTAGAGCATGGGTCAGGAATCTGTGACTCAAAAGTCAATGGGTTGCAAAAGATAAAAGATGTTTTTTTTTAGATACAAATATTCCCAGGAACTTCTTTATGAAAAAAAAAGCAGCTAAAGCCACATAAAAATTTGATATTTCTTTTGGCAGGTGGCTTAATGCAACTCAAATTAACTTTTCTTGCATTCATGATTTTCACGCCCTCCAATTTCCATGATCAATTGTTCTGAGCAAGGGTCAAACCTTTAAGCTTCTTTTCCAGGTAACCGGTAACATTCAAGAGTATTAAGTTTCACTAAAATAGTTTTGTTTTAGAAGGCAAGTGGCATTTTAAAATAAATTTTGTGCCAGTTCAATTTCAGTGCAAATGAAAATGATATATTTGCATGATTGGTGGTTATTCAGTTTGCATTTGTAATTAAATATTTGCCCTGTAAAAGTCATGGTCATACCTCATTTTTTCAGGCATCAAAGAATGCATATGGATGTGGCCAACTTCAGAAAGGGTCTGCAATTTCGAAAATATTTCTCTCACAAGCACTTGCCTCAATCTTAATTTGACTCAAATGGCCAAAAAGGTTCCTAACTCCTGTGCTAGTGGGTCACATGACACAGTTTAGTACGTCCTTTAACCCATTGAGCGGTATGGCCGTGCCAATACAGCCGTGCGCTCTCAATCCAGCAGGAGTGTGACTGTACTGGTCCATCCTGCATCTTCAAATTCAAATTGCTATATTTTGACAGATACCATTAGTTTGAGCTCAAATATGGAGATTCCTGAATATGTCTCACCTAATTCAGTACTACCACATTTCAAGCTAGTACAGAAAGCAACAGAAAAAATTAAATACTAACTTTGGGGCGGCTTGCAAGAGAGGGTTTTCAGTGTGACTCTCTCACTGACAAGCATATTCCATTTTGAAAATTAAGCATACAGAGGTGTGCTCTCAATTTTCAATGACAAATCTGGAAAGCCCTGGAACTGGCAATAGACTGATGACAAAAGTCTCATGTGTAAGGTATTGATGGACAAGAAGCAGTTTGTACTAAGTAGCATTACATGACAAACTCCCTCACAGGAAATGAGAAGGAAAAGGAGATTAAATCAATTACTACTTCCATATTTTACCTCTTTTATATTTTATCAATTCCATCATGAAACTTTTCTTTGATTTCGTGTCATTTCCTAGCAGGGGGTGGGGGCATTCCAATGGTTACAGCAATTTCCTACTGTAGAGAAGTGAAAATCATGATACATATGGAATTCAATTTATGGAATAAAATTTAAATTTTAGGAATGTAGTTTAATACTAAGTTAATTTACTTTCATTTGAAGATGTAATAAGATGTTATTCACACATTGGAGGAAAGAATATGGTTGGTGAAAAGCTACTTCTGTTTACTTTTTGTTTTTCTGTTTCTCATGTCTAAGTAGTTAAAATATTTTTTTTAATAATTAATTATCACATATTTCTATTTCTTCATTATTGTTTCATAATAATACCACACCCTGAAGCACTACCCTGCTTGATTACCCAAGATTACAAATGTTGAATAAAAGTTATTTCAACATACTTCTGAGGTAAAAACTGTTTATGTTAATAAAAGTAAACAATTCTGAGCTGGAGCCTATTTGCAAAAGAAACTCACCCCTAGGGGCATGGCCAGTCAGAAAAAGTCTCACCGCTCAATGGGTTAAGCCTCTGCTACCAGAAAAGTTACACTACACCCAGACTTGCACCAACACGGCATATGGCGCATTTTGTGTACCAGGTTGGAACTTTGAACATGCTATATGGCATGAACAGCAGTGAAACATTAGAATGAAACATTAGAAATAAAAATTTTTACTTAAAGGTTGGTGTATCACACTGTACAATTCTGAAGCTTTTTGTCTTCTGCAGACTCCAAGAAGTGAAGGGAATTTCCAGTGACCACAGAACCTGAAAGAGTGGATGTCATGAGATTTTCCCAGTTTCTCAAGTTTCTTGTAACTGATTCAAATTATCCATACCTTATATAAGGAGGAAGCTCCAAACTAAAGGACATTACAGCCTCCTTTCTCAGTGAAGTCCATTAGAACACCATGGACACTGCCCCATGCATTTCTGATCGTCACCAGTTCCTCGTTCATCCTTTGACTCTTCCCTTATGACTTGCTTCAGTCCTTCTACATTTCATAGAATTCCTCTTTGCATGGCTTGCTTTTGAATGCCTCAGAAGTTTGCTTCGTACCAAGTAAATTCTAAAAGAAAGCACATATCTATCAATTTTTAAATTAAAGCTAATAAAATTAATCAGCCATCTTTGGTGAATATAGACTGCTGGAAGTTACCTCAAATTTTATTAACAAACAATGGGAGCAGGGCCAACCACAAACTCTTTGGTAGCAAAACAAATTCTAATGCAGCTTGTCTTCAGTTGCAGCCCTCAGTCTTCCCATTTTTCATCCAGTCCTTTTCTTTATCATATCTCCTTCCTCTTTTGACATAAACATCTTCAAGTCAACATGTTCCTGCTGATTTGTCTCCAGTCATCTCATCCACCTGAAAGAGGCAATGTGTATTCAGGCTATGGCTGTAATGGTATCACTATCTGCTGCTGGATTCTAGCAGATATGATTACTACAGGCAGAAAACATGTCATTTTTTATCTATTGAAGCTGAGACTGAATGTTGAGGTCCAAGCAGGCCTGGGCTTTTCCTGGATGATGTATGATCTCCTAAAGACTTTTCTTCAATACCAGGATACTAATACACCAATATCATAGGCTCTGGGTGCCATAATACTGATGAAAGTCTTATAGAGGGTGGTCCATGATAAACTTTTTTTCTTTCTAGAGGCTGTACCTTTGCACCAAATGGAGATAACTGTTATGGTATGAATCTTTTGAAAGAGTTCATTTTTATTGAAAATCTCTCATTTAGGTGAAGTTACATACATTTTTCGGAAGTTTGAACCTTTTTTTTATAAGGTCTTCAAAGAAGTTTTCAAATGCTTGAATTTAATGCTCAGTCGATTCTCCATTCAACACAGTCCTCTTCCCATTGAGCTCTCAAACCACCATAAGATGATTGCAGGCCCAAGTGGACCCAAAGGCCAACTGTTCGATCATGCAACTTCAAATTGAACACTTCCGTACACTTTCTTGCTATGGAGGCAAACTTCAATTTCTGGCCAGGAAATGCTCCATACAATAGTGCTTCTGGAGATTGAGTCAACCCATTGCTAGAGGGATGTTTACTCACAATGTCAGGGTTATATTTAAGTATTACAGCATTTTTTTGGGACCTGCTGGGCAAAGTCTGAAAACTTGTTTTGAAGACACTTAAAAAAAGGGTGGGTTCAGAATTCAGGCAAATGTATGTAACTATGTTGATGTGTGATTTTTCAGCTAAAATAGGCTCATTGAAAAGATATTGTCCAGGGCCCTCCTATTATGTATATATTTGCATAGGTTTCCCCACTGAGCACAAAGATGCTGTCTTTAGGAAAAAAAAAAAAAAAACAGTTTCCTAAGGAGCATGTTGGCACTGTCATATTCCATGTATGGGTATGAAGATGCAAAAAAAAAGAGGGTCAATTAACTTGCTTTAAAAAAACAATGCTTAAATTTATTCCTAAATACACGTTACAACCTTTTTTTTACGTGGAGAAGATTCCTACATTTTCGTATCAAGTGTGGTGCCATATTCCCTCTAAAGCCCTTAGCCCTCTGGTTTCAAGAATGGATTGAAGAGTCCTTAAAGTCTCCATGCTTTATCCATGGCTTTGCTGAGCTACCAAAGATGTATTTGAAGGGGAAAAATCATGCCCACAAGATGGATGATATAACGACACCACTGGTTCAACAAAATTAATTAGTTCAGATATTGCTTATGAAGGTTCAAGTGACTGTGCTGATTGAGAATCAGCTTTTTGTCTGATCATTATCCTTCTTTGCAACCTGATTTGCTGTGGGATGCCCCAGAAACAGTAAGGTCATGCTGTGCCATTTCTGAAAAGCACTGCAATTTCTTCTTTATGGGGGGATATGTTGAAGAAAATAAAAAATCACAACCATCCAAATTTAACAAGGATTTTATAACTTGGTAATCCTGAGCAAGATGAAAGACTACTTCTGCATCTTCTCACAAATATGTTGCAAAACAGCAATATACTTAACTTTGTGAGGAATTCATCTAATGGAATATTTCAAATTAAAGTCATGCCATATGGTGCAGGAGTACAGGGTATATCAAAGTCTGGACTAATATGCAGATTTCACTCTTTACCTTCATTTCATTAAATGTTCAAATTGTATACCATGAACTTGCATACACATATCAAATCTGGCAGGTAACTCCCTCTGAATATTTCTTCATACCTCTGAACTAAATTTGGTGCACTCATTCATTGATAAATTTAATTAATTCAAAATACCCATGAGTATGGACTTAGGATACACCCTGTAGTTACAGAGGTGGGAGTTGTAGCTGCATTTCTTTCAGGTTAGGTTAAAGACCAGAATTTCAATCAAAAGGAAAAACAAACATCTATTTGGATTTGATGCATATCACAATTGATGAATGCAAAAGGAGTAATCAATTAGGGATCATTTTCAGACTCTTCCGAATGAGAGGTCAAGCTTTCCAAGTCTTCATCAACTGACAGCTTCAGCTCCTTCAATTTCTCTTCTGCTTTGGCCATGGCATCCTCTTTACCTGGAAAAGCAAAATTCTTCATTGATATATTCTAATTCTGTAATTGTACTTGGGCTGCAAAGCGACAGGCTATCGATACCATCTTGCACAGAGGATGTAGACTGAAGCTTGTTGAGGTATCTTAGGAATGTTCGCCTCCTTCTTTCTGACAGACATTTGATCTGGTCCCTGAACATGGTTTCTAAACTAGGTTGTAACTGAGCATCCTCCTGTCGAACAACAATGCCAGCATTTTTGCCACATTTTGCACACACACCAGTCCCACTGACACATGGATCACAGATGATCATATATGCCCTCTTAATAGTCTTTTCCTGACACTTCACACATTTTCGTGGTACAGACAAAGGTTTGTACTTCTTGAACTTGATCTTCCACTGAATGATGTCCTGGCAGCGGGCACACATATTAAATAGTGCCATCGAATTCATATCCTGGGTCTTCTTGCTCTTGTCATGTAATGTGTTCTTAAACGCAGATGAATTTTGATGTTTTTGTCCCCTAGTCCTTTGGACATTTCCTCGTTGACTACTCATGTTGGCATGCAAGAACTGCAACAACTATTATCGGTGACAACTGAAATACAAGGGAGATATAACGCAGGGCGTGGGAATGTCCCATGTTCTTGGGCCTAATTAACTCTATATGATTCAGTTCAGTACATCCATTAGCATAGGTTCTTCGAGAGATTTTATGGTTAGTGTGAAAGGGGCCCCAATTCCCGGTCGCTTAGGTAAGGCTGCCATTTTTAACCGTATCACTCGATAACGCAGGGCATTCTGAGCCGAATGAAGCTATAATCTAACAGATCCATTCCTTTTTCATCAATAGGAATGAGGATAAAGAACGGTCATAGAGGAATTTGGTAGTTAACACGTGGACACTGTATACCATAGTCCGGACTTCTGCTGAGGAGCAGGCAAGAGCAAGGAGGTAATTTGTGAGGCTTAGGACTCAGTTTCATGAAATGGATCTTCAACGTCTACTTGAAATTTTATTTTATTTTATTTTAATTTTTAGAACTCGCACACCATCATCTCGTGCGTGAACGCCATCAGGCCTTACGGAAGACCACTGCTGGCACTAGCACTGCTGCCAACATTATGGTGTGATTTTCCATCAAAATGCTTCTGATTTTCCATAAATTATCTCACCCCAGTTTTTCATATCTGCTGTCATGGAATAGCAAGAAATGAATAAAGTTATGGAAAATCCTGATGTGACATGAAAAAACGTTCACTACGTGGAAAATCCAATATAATAATTTCAGTGAAATAGGTAGTGGATCGAGTTTAAGCCCGGACGTTAAGAGCCTTGTTTTCCATCTGACGTTATAGCTTACATGATTAATTTGGCTATATTTACATCTTGCGTTTTTTTTTTTAAGCGTGCATACGAACACCCCACCCCTAATTGAAGATAGACTCCTCTAAAGGTAATTTTTTTCGGGTGGAGAACATTTCAAGTTACCATAAGCCCATATGGATTTCCAAACAGTATGCAAGCCCCCTTTCGTTTTCTGTACTCCACATATTTTTTTTAAAGATACGCTCTTCTTTCACAGTATAAAGTAATTAAAGGTGTTCTGTTTCGAATTATGATGGTTCGTGAAGCCTTTAAAGTATTGTTTCTGCTTGGCAAGGGAGTATTTAATAGGTTATGGATGGTATTATTACTCTCACGCGTAAATTGGGACAACAGCTACAAAATGAGCCAGAATACACAGCAGCATTCCTGTGCCCGTGACATGGCAGCTAATGGTTCTGAGAATTACGTAGAGGTTCAAGCGACGTCAGACGATCAGATGAAGCGATACAAGTTCGATCCACGTGCGAGTCGCGTGGTGCGCATGAAAATGGTGCCTGACTTTTCTTTCACGATCGTTAAATGTCTGGCTTTACCCTTTCTCCTTGCTCCCCTCTTACCAGAGCAGTAGAGAAAGTCAGGTAAGCACATGTAGCACTAGGCAGCATAGAGCAGGATCTATAGGCCTGCAAATATTTACGTCTTATTGATAAAAGGAAACCCGCAATAAGAGTTTGAGTTTGGTTCTTCCAGTATTGCAGCAGAACATGTCTTGCAATCTTTTTCCTTGTTTCACAGCGGCAAGAATTGCAGGAGGGGAGTGTTGGGCTTATACAGGGTCCAGCAGAAACATCTACCCACTTTCAAACTGTGAAAAGTGGGGGTAAAAAAGCTTATTTATCGAAAATAAACATACAGACTGAATATATTTGCTATGCCATTTATTATGGTACCTTAGTTCCTGAAGATCATGTCTTCCAGGTGGTGACCTTCGCTTTCTAGGCACAGAACTGCCCACCACAGACAGCAGATAGTCGATGTTCGCCTGAAGGCGAACATCGAGGTTGAGATCAGAGCCATACCTGAGGATATGTTGCGATGGGCAGTTCTCTGCCTAGAAAGCGAAGGTCTCCACCTGGAAGACATGATCTTCAGGAACTAAGATACCATAATAAATGGCATAACAAATATATTCTGTCTGTATATTTATTTTTGATAAATAAGCTTTTTTACCCCCACTTTTCACAGTTTGAAAGTGGGTAGATGTTTCTGCTGGACCCTGTATTATTTGTTTTTGGGATAAGGTAAGGCTCCTTTTTTTTCTTAAGTTTCCAAGTCTTGGTCTTGGTGAGAGGATTTCAAAATACACTTCTGCCATTCTGGGAAGAAAGCTGCATATTTACAGAATTGTCCTTGCAGGCATGTAATATACAGATCCCTGTCAGAGTAAAATGACTACCCATTGGAAAAGAGTTTTTTCCCATTGGAAAAGAGTTTTTTCTTGGTTGATACCATGATTGCACAAAACATGACAAAGTTTACAGGTGGAGTAGCCATGTGCATCATGTTGGTCTTTGACATGAGCAGGCATAGATTCTATGAAGTTATCAATGACAACCTGATACAGATTTCACATAGATTGGTGAGTGTAATCTTCAGTTGCTGGACATTGTTGGGGAATGAACTTGTTGCATGCAGCTGCCAGTCAGGGTGCAAGAAGAAATGAATCCATGAAGTATTGGAGTGGTCATTTTAATCTGACAGGGATCTGTAGTTTAAAGGTGTGGGAGCCTTTACAGTTCCACTTGTGTTAGTCACTGACAGTTCATCAATTGCAGAAACTTAATTTACATATGATTTGCAATTTGTTCTTTCATACAAGAAGTGATGCCTTGGCATGCCTGCACTCCTCTACAAGCATCTGCCAATATTTTTCACCAGTGAGGAGACAGACAACAGGGCAAAACCATGCGAAAATCACATCAGAAATAAAAGTGGATTGTCATCTGAAGGTTAGAGGGGGACCACTTCTTGTTCCTCCAATGGTCCAGTGATGGAGATTCCCAGTGGTATTCTACTAAGGAATAGGTTTGGAAGGGGTTATATGCAAAGCTCAATTTTGAGCAATGTTTCTGGTAAGGTCCTAGGACCTGTGGAAGGTATTTGGATGTGGGGGTCATCAGTTTGAATTTTAGCCCTGCTTAAATTTGTAAAAGCCTTGTGCATTCTTAGAACTTTTGTAGCCAATATATATTCTGCATCTGCTGACATTCTACTTGCCATAGGCTTGCCAAAGTGAATTTATTGGTGTAATATGGAAGGTCTCCTAATTATGATCATTGAAGGACCAAAACATAAGGCACTTTTGAGTCAATGATTCATCCCCCATATTCCTAGCCTACCAGAGTTAGGCCTATTTTTCTGTGATTCTGGTGGGTTTTCTGATGAAGAATGGATGACATTGATTAATTTTACTTACTATCAGCTTAAAATAAGAGATTAAAATGCTAGTCTGAGACTTAGGAGAAGAGAATGCTACATTATTTTTTTTTTTTTTATTTTCCTTTGATTTTGATGGATTTTGAGAGGGTTGCTCAAAATCAGTCAGGGATGCAACCAAGGGAGGGGGGGGGGGGGGGGGTTCTCTGAATCCCTCAAAAACCCCTGCTCATGATGGTATTTCTCTACTTCTCCATCCTCCTCTTCTCCAAGGGTGGGGATGCAGAAAGATATCGTGAGCAAACAACCTGAGAGCAGGACTGAAAAGGCACAAAGATAGGAGGTGAAAGGTTAAGGTCACACCAGTCACATGTAGCTACTCATTTTAGTAAAGTGAACCTGTGAAGGAAACATCCTGCACTTGTGATGCTACTGAATTTTTCCTGAAAACAGAAGGATGACAATTCAAATTAAAGGCATGAATCATGTACAGGTTAACAAACTTCCAGTTACATGTCTGCTCAGTAATATTTGGGATGAATCCTGAAATTAATAGGGTAAAGGTGCCAGTTTGTGGATGGGTTAAGGAAATTTTTATATTGTAAATTGTACAACAGTCATTGGAGTAACCGGAGAACTGCTTGTTTGATTTCATTGATTTCATTTCATGTATCATAGTTATACATCCATACTCTAAAATTGAGCATTGATTGCAAACTTCTCCAACAATGGGTATTTCAATGACTATATGTGGATTTTCACCCTGTTTTTTAATTTGTGGATGACCTGGTTCCAGTTTGTGGATGATGCCAGTTTTTTGACAATCATGAACATGAATTGGCCTGATATAGGCATAACCATGGCATGTATGCAGTAGTATTCTTCATCGTCACTGAAATGAAAATAATATAAAAAGTCACTCATTCTTAACCCATTTCTTGGCAAGCACAGCTACATCCATGCCCATTTTTGGTGAAGCCAAACTCAATACAGTTGAAAATCTGGTGCACATTGTCCATTGAAGTCCATGAGACCTTGATCTCATTGCTCAAAAAAAAAGTTAATTAATGCAGACTAAAAGTTATTCTTTTGTCACCAAAAGCCTTTCCTTTATGATCTTGGGCCTCCTCATGGAAATATGAGACCTCTGCTTTGTGAATAATTTAAAGCAGTCTTTCTCAGCTAACTTCAACAAACTAAAACATTTATTATTATTATTAAAGACTGGATTTGGGGACTATGTTAAAGTGGAATGCCCAGCATCTGGGATATTACTGCTTAGTTCATATGAAAATGCAAACAATCAAGTAATTATGCAGGTCTACCATATGCCTCACTGCAGGATATAATTTTTAAAAGGCTATACATCAAGTGGCATGAGGCATTCAATTGTTAGTCTTATCCTTAAGCTATTATTTTAAAACTATAATTGGCTTAAGCAGTGTCAGCTGGCAATGAGCTCTATTCTCACTCTAATTCTTGAAATTATGTCTCTCTCTCTCTCTCTCTCTCTCTGCATCCAGGTTCCCCTCCCCCCTACCATGTCCATGAGAATTTTGTTTCCCCAACTCTGATGAAAATGGACAAGAAGGGAGATGGTGATAATGAAGTGCATGGCCTGGATGATCAGGATTTTCTGGATTTATCAAATGATGGCACAGAGGCAGGGGAGCCAATCAACTGCCAAGGTCAAGTCTTCTATTGCCAAACTTGCAGAACAACATGCTCAGGACCTAAGGTGATGCCTTGGCAAAGGTTAAAGTCACCCATTTTTTTTACTCACATCATGCCAACTTTTCCCTCTTTTGCCAGTTTCTTTTTATCTTAGGTTACCACTGCTTCAATCATTTCACGGGTAACTTATACTTCCCAAACTTTCCGATCCACAATTATCTCTCCCAATAGTTTTTATGAAGACTAAGAAAGAAATCCCTCTCTGTGTACAGCATGACAAAGACATGAGCTCAGTAGCATCTAAGGATTCCTTGAGTGGAATGGCAGAGGCCCCTTGCATTTAATCACCCTCAACCCTTCCCCATTACCATCAGTTTAATTTTTTGAAAATAGCATTCATGCTGCAAATGAATAATATTCCTTCATGTACAGAAATCCTTCCCCCTCCCCCTATCTCTCCATTCCATCACTTCAGAAGAGAATTACATTCTCCCTCATCTCATTAGATTTGACTTTAAAAAATATGCAGCTAGACTTGCCAAGCAATTTTGAATTTAGAGTTATTTGCCAGAAGCAGTCATTGGTCAAAAAAAAAGTTAAATAGACAGTTAAATATTTAGTTGGACCTCCATATGATTTGTTCAAGGCTTAGACTCAATTGGACATGGAATCAGGTGTTTTGAGTTGTTCACCAATATCAGGTGGTGCTCAAATTATTCTTGCAGGGATCTGTACATGCAAGGTATTTACGAGGGTTGTCCGAAAAGTTCTCTGTATTGATTTTTAAATGAGTTCCACTCAAATCTTTATTAAATTTTGGTGAGCACTGTTTATATCTAATAGTATTCACTGTGCGAAGTTTGGTATAAATTTAGCCACATTTGCACTCACTGCTGTATATTGTGCACAGTCATCATGCACTTCCCCTCCAGGAAGGCCTTTGACTATTTCCGAATCATTTTGTAAGCTGGACAATGTTGGTCCAAAGCCATTGACATCAGTTGATGGATTTCTGTCAGTGTGAGCTTGAGCAGAATATGGAACTTGATGATGACACAAATGTTGTTTCGAGAATGATTCTTGTATGACGGAGGCGTTCATATTGACTGTGCGTAATATCTGGCAGTGAGTGTAAATCTGGATAAATTTATACCAAACTTTGCACAGTGAATACTATTAGATATAAACAGTGCTCACTGAAATTTAATGAAGATTCAATGAGTGTAACTCATTTTAAAAGTCAATACAGAGAACTTTTTGGACAACCCTCATATGTTATATTTTGTCATACTATTTCCCTCAAAATGTTATTCCCATAAATTTTGCTCTTTCTGCTTACTTTTTATTATTTTTGGATAAAAAATGTTGTTGTGATTTCCCATTGCAGATAGAAAAACAACCTAAAGTATTCATACACCATTGATTTCATGTTAGATTTCTATCTCATGTTACCATTGATTGAACAAATTTCATGGCTTTTACAGAATGGAACCATTAAGTCAAACTCTATTTTTGGCAAACTCTAGAACAAAAAAAAATCTGCCCTATGGGTATCAGTTTTTCTAATAATATGTTCATAACTTTCAGGGTTGGGAATCTCACATCAATGGATATAAGCACAGGAAGAAAAGTGCAGCAGTACATTCATCAGTGAAGATGGATTGGGCACAGCTCTTCATATGCCGGCTCTGTGACATCAAGTGTGTGGGCAACATCCCATTTGCTGCTCACATCAGTGGGCATAAACATAAACGGGTAGGTCTGTTGGTGTGGGATGCATGAAGTTCATGTATTAGCAGTTAAAAAAACTTGGAAGATTTTTGAGCAAGAATTCTTCAGCTTATGTCATATTAGGAAACTTCCAAATTAGGCAACCTAACTGCAAAAGTCTACAAATGGGAAGAGGCACATGAGACAAGAGATTAAATAATTGATATAGGAAGGGTTTTGTTTCATTAGAGACAAGCAGCCTTCCTCATAGTCTTCTCAGCATCTATGCAAAAAAATTGACTCCTATTGTTTTTAGGTAGTCCAAACTTGCTCTCTCCTAATAACTCAGTACTATTTCTTGCTGCAGATGCATTCTCAGTCAAGTCTGGATTGGAGCTATTACTTTGTCAGAAACTACCCTAGTGTGTAGGTTTTTTTGCAGATGACACATGGGGCGATGTAGGAAAGAAGATTTGGAAAGATTTTTGGAATATATATTTCCACCAAATATAGCTTCAGGCTTTGGATGGAATTTTCACATTTTCAGTACCAGATGTTCATCAACCTGCCTTTTGAAATTGATATGTCTGAGCCTTTCTTAGATGATTTAGTCCCTTCCTTTTGCTTGACCCCCCTTTTTTGATGATGAAAGCAACTTATCATCATTCCAGCAGAGGACAACCCAGACTGATTTCAAAGCTGCAGTCTATCACAGTTTAGTAGCAGATTAGTTCCAGTTAGAATTTCTTTGTGGTAGAAGTCAGCAAAAGCACACTGAAACTTCTGCTGGACCTAAATCTAAACTGAAAATGAAACCTCAATGCAACTGAACTACTGTCTTGAAATTAACTGAGGTACTTAGTAGATATAGGGTAATTTGGGGGAATATGGCCATAGAAAATGAAACCTGGTCATAACAGCCCATCAAGGTCAAATTTGACTTTTACAATGTTTCTAAAATATTTATTGATGTCTCCTTTTCTAAATCCCAGCAAGGCATATGCAAAAAATGACATGGCTATGGTGCCTTAGGATCTTTTCCAAGTTGGTCCCAAGAGCCCATGTTACCCCTGTAGTTGGGGGAATATGGCCACTTCGGAAAAAACAAAATCAGGTTTTCCAGGAACATGTGAAATATGCTGGAACATGCTGAGAATAAACTTCTGGAATAAACAGGGTGGTACAAAAAATCTTTGACCCCAAGGGTATCATTGAAATTGACAATACCACTGGATGAAATCAAATTTTATTGCTGGTGAAACTCTATGTAGAGGATTGCTTCATGTCCAAAAATGTTAATTTAGTCTGAGCAATAAATCTCTAGCAATTACAGCAAATTTTCAAAGTGGCCCCAATCCTAATCAATGCACATCTGAACAGATCGAGTGATCGAAACTTTCCATCTGAACAGATCTATCACTCTTTTTATCTCTCCTTGATCCAGGAGTTGCCAAGCTTCATTAACAAGCTCAATAAGGTGGCTCTCATCTCGAATGGCCTCAGTATACATGTGTTTACACAATATTTCCCTACATAATAATCCACCGAATTCAGGTCAAGTGAATTTGGGGGCCACATGTCAGGTTGCATGAAGTCAGGGATACTTGGACAATTGTATTCCTGACCAGTGGATTATTACTTAAGGAAATATTATGTAAACATATTGAGGCCATATGGGATGTAAACCACCTCATCAAACTTGTTAATGAAGCTTGGCTACCCCTGGATCAAGCCAAGACAGAGTGATCAATCTGTTCAGATGGCAGGTTGTGATGTGCATTGATCAAGATGGGGGCCACTGAAAATTTGCTGTAATTGCTGGAGATTTATTGCTCAGACTAAATTATTGGGTTGGAAAGAAAGTCTTGCAACACTCTGTGCAAATTTTTCACAATTTTATAACTTTACTGAAATGTAATTTCAGTCTACAATGTTATGACCATTGTTGTCTATGACATGTTCCCAACGCATGGGTAACAGCTCGATGCCCTTTGCCCAGAACTCTGGCGATTGCGAAGCGAAGAAACGGCCGACATCATTTTTGAGCCGTGCTCGATCGTCGAAGGCCTTGTCCTGCAGGTGATTCTTGAGGGCCCGGAACAAATGATAGTCGGAAGGGGCCAAGTCCGGAGAATATGCTGGATGGGGTAAAACTTCCCAGTTCCGAAATCGTCTGGCGAGTCATCTTCGCAACATGTGGATGAGCGTTGTCATGCAGAAGGAGAACTTTGTCGCGTTTGGGATGCTCTTTTTGGATGATGCCAGCCAACTTCTGAAGTCAAGCAGCATAGACGACGGCAGTCACTGTGGTACTGGTTGGCGGGAGCTCATAGTACAACATTCCTTCTGAATCCCACCGACAGCAGAGAAGAACCTTCTTCTTGTGGAACCCTGGTTTCAGTTTGTGTGGTGGCAATTCTCCCCTTGGAAGCCACTGACTCTTGCGAGTATGGTCGACATAGAGGACCCAGCTCTCATCTCCAGTAACGATTTCCTTCAGAAGGTCCTTTCTGTGTGGACGAAGGAGCAGTGATTCGCAGACACCGACATGGCTTGCTTTGTCAGAGTCACCGAGCCAATGAGGGACCCATGTCGAGTAAACCTTCTGATAGCCGAGGTCGTTCAGATGGTTGCCGATGGCCATATGGGTGACCAAGTTTAGTCGCCAATTCGTGAGTGGTGGCGTTCAGCTTCGCGTTGAGGGCGTTCTGCAGGGCTTCATCATCGACTGTAGATGGACGTCCTGAGCATGGTCAATCTCCGAAGGTCGTGTCACCAGATTCCGAGCGCTTGAACCATCGAGACACCGTGGAATAGTGGACGACGTTGCCCTTGAATGCAGCGCAGATGTTGTCCGCGGCGGCTCTCACAGAGTGCCCTTGGAGGAACTCGTAGTAGACAATGGGGCAAAGAGTTGCTCGTTCGATTGGAGCCATGGCTGCCAACTGATGGCAGAAGCCGCCTTATATACCCCGAGGGCAGAAGCTTCGAGAACATTCCAGCATATACAAATGCAAAACCTATTGGGGCCACTTTGAAAATTTGCTGTAATTGCTAGAGATTTATTGCTCAGACTAAATTAACATTTTTGGACATGAAGCAATCCTCTACATAGAGTTTCACCAGCAATAAAATTTGATTTCATCCAGCATATACAAATGCAAAACCCCACCCACCATTCCTTTGAAAATTTTTTTATAAATAGTTTTAGAAAGTGTTGCAAGACTTTCTTTCCAACCCAATAACTGAAATGGACATGAAGCAATCCTCTACATAGAGTTTCACCAGTAATAAAATTTGATTTCCCTCTCTGGCTTCTACCAACAATGTCTAATAAAACCAAATCCACCTTTTCCTGTGGTGTCTTCAGTAAAAATCATGTGGAAAAGTAAAATTAAATAGTTCCAATTGCCTATAAGTACAGACATTTGTCACATCCTGTAGATAGGGCATTGAATGGACTTGTTCATGATCATGTTTCTGATATGTCTCCAAAATCATTGGAGGCAGTTCAATGTAGTTCAATGAACGTTTTTCTTCTGGTTGAAGTGATTGCACTTATTTTGATCATAATCTTAATTCTCAAATTAAAGTGTCATTATCCTCTAAGCAGCTATATGACTTTTTAATTGAAGTTATTTTATTAACCCTTACCAGCCCAATGATTCCATATGGCTTCACAGTTTAATTACATCTACAAAGTCATTGCTATAACACAATGACTCCACTTGGCATCATAGCTATTATAGTAATTTAAAAAATTGGTTACTATTTTATTATATTATTATTTTGATTACTTTTCTAGGTTTCACCCAAAAATTTTTTTCCATGAAAGGTAAGGATTAATTTAGGCTGGAAAGGGTTAAGCCAGTTTTAAAGGAAATTTTTTTGTGAATAAAATGTAGGAGCATATTCTTATTGCCTAATTAATTATGAGTTATTTGGTTATTTTCAAACCTGAGCACAAAAATGGTTTAGTCATTAATAGAAGCTTCAAAATTTCTTCCAAGATATTTGAAGTTAGAATTAATTGCTTGTAAGTCTCTTTTCCTTTTTTGTTGTTTTGTTGATTTAGAAATAGATGCTTAACTTCTTCAGTTAAAATTAAGCACACTTGTGATTGCTTCAAGATTGTCCATCTTCTCTCATGGGAATCCAGCAACTTTGCAAAAGTCTTATTTGTAGAACTACATATTCCCAACCCTTGCCTGATTGAAGCTCATGAATTATGCTTGCAGTGGGCAGGGTATCTTGGTGAGGAGTACTAAATGTATAAAGAGGAGCTTCACAGTCATCCTCCCTTACTCTGACTCAGACTGCCTAGGAAGGATGTTAGTAGCCTTGTGCTTCCACACCATGATCAGATAGTCTGCCTGCATCTGCTGCAAATTTTCCAATAGCCAATTCCTACCTTTAAAAATCTGACATACTACATTTTTATTTGCTTTGTTTCCTCTTCATTATGAGTAGTGGGAAAGTGTGTATACTTCCTTCTTGTTGCTCACTGTAACAGAATAATAGACATAAATAACTATCATTTCATGCCTTTTCCACAAAAGAGGGTGCAAAATAAAAATGGCTGAATGTGAATCAGAAGAGGTACCTGCTGAAAGATTCTGTAACTGTTTTCAAAGGAAGGTGCCATCAATATTCTGCAAAGTCAAAAAGCTGTCCCAGTCAGATTATTCCATGGACCCTAGGAATCTCCCAGTGCATTCAAACATGCTCAATAGTGTCTCTAGGTACATTGCAATGATGACTGCATGTTCTAACAAGATGGATAGTTTAGGTTAACACTTTGTGTATGGGTCATGTAGAAAGCTGTTCTTTCAAATCTTGCTGACTCCTGGACATAGTGTTCAAGATATGGTAATTTGGTATCCTAGTGCCACATACTTGCATAAGGATTCAGAATCCCTATAAGTAGCCTTCTGGTTTCAGTTTCCAGTTGTACTTGCAATGCTGGCCATTTGACAAGCTAAATACCTAGTCTAGAGGTAATTGATTTTAACTCTATCCATGCTGAGAGTTTCAGCATGTACTTTTTATTATAGAATGAAAATTCCTTTTGTTCCAGAATTGCAAATAAAATAATCATCTGGGCATATTTCAAATAACTTACAGCTTTTTCATTGGTGTCAAATTGCACATAAAGTGGGAGGTGGGGTCCCACTGATGATTGACACACCAGGAGAGTGTTCAATGCAGGTTTGACTCATCATCAGCATAGAGAGTGCTTTAAAGAAGCATGGTTATAATGGGTTTTATACCTGCTCTAAAAAACCGAAGAGAAGGCTCTAAAAGACTCGTCATGCATGCTGATTGAATAATTTATTGCTTGCTTCTCTTCCAGGCTTATGAACTTCAAATACAGAGGGGAAGGAAAATACCAGAAGCCATTGTGCCATGGGATTATCAGCATGATCCCTACTATACATCAGGAAAGCCAATGCTCCCCTTGAGGAATTTAGGCACAGGTAATCAATCATCTACCTTTGCATCAGAATGGATTTCGTGCTTATTAGCCTACACCTCTTCTCTATACCTAAGTACTGGCTGGTGTCTTAGGGACAACTGCTTAGATTCAGAATATTCTGGGTATTTGTTTTACAGTGTTTCCCATTGACTTTTATACCTGCTGCATAATGTTATGCATAAGTGGCATATTGCTTTGTACCCCTTTTAAAATGATCCACATACATTGCATGGTGTTTCATACTTCCCCCTCCCACCCAGTGAGCCAGTGCCTCTCCGAATGATGCATCTATCTGGCAACCCTTGGAGAGAGGAATGCATGACTTGTGGAAATCTTTTAGAATTGATGGATATCAAACCCCCAGATTCACAGATTACTCTGAAGAACTCCGTGAAAAGACCCGTAATTAACTGGAAAAGAGTTCCACACTTAGGAATTCTTATTGAGGAAATGCCAAATAATATGATATGCATCAGAAGTGGTCCTTTTTCACCTGAACACCATAACAACCAATCATAAAACTGACAAATACCTTCCACTGGGGACTTTGTGGAGCAGCCGTTGTTTCAAGGGCCCTGGACATAATTCCCATCAGGGTTGCCAGGTGGTCTTGCTATTCTGAGAAGCACTGGAGGAGTGGAGGAGAACAGGGGGTACGAAACATTATGCAACACATGTGATTAATTATAAGGGAGGTGTGGAGTATTTTGCTGCTAGCACCTAGCATTCTGTAAGACATGCAAAATTCACTGAGGAACACTGTATATATTTTTCCTTACTGGAAAGCTTAAGGTCCTTCCAAAGAGGAGCTAACATTTTTTACTTCATTTGGAAGACAACGGAGAGGAAATGTTCTCAAACAAGGAAGAGAGGGGACACTTTTTGCATGATGTGCTCACACCTCGATTGGAATTGGATTTGCAGTGATCATGAAGGAAATAGGCTTCTGTGGTACACCATCCTTATTTATAATGCACTTGAAAATGCTGGAAATGCTAGTCTCTATGAGTCATATAGATCAATGGTTCTCAACCTTTTTGATCCTATGGCCTACCTTACAACTGCAAAGAGATCTGAGGCCCACTAAAATGCTATGTATAACTTTTGTTCATCTAACTTCTGATTGTTATTTTTGTATTTATGAATACTTGTTATGGTCCATCCATGTCACCTCAGTGGCCCATCGGCTGAGAACCACTGATGTAGATAGCTAATGAAAACTTGTATAATGTTCATCCCCTATGGGCTCAGAATATGGATCCTTCCCTGATGCTCCCAGAAAATTACCTAATAAATTAATACTTAAAAATACCTAATTGTATGGATTTGTGCTTGGAAGACAATTTAGGAGAGAAAATCATGTAGAAACAAATCCAAAATATTAAAATTAAAATAATAATAAAATAATAATAAAAGCTATGGGGTCATGAAAAATCTGTGAGTTGTGAGTGGTTGGAGGCTTCATCTCACCACAGGAGATTATACATTGTTGATGTCAAAAAAGTCTGAAACGCCTTAAATTCCACTGCCTGCAGTGCCTTCACCACCCATAAAAGTTGTCATTTGGTAGTCATAAGTCATAAGCACTGTAGATGATCACAGTTGACCTGATGTACTTGTATCATTCCCCATTCATGTCTCTTCTCTTGCTTTTTGAGCAACATAAAAAAAGAGGTCATGGAAGAGGATTGGAAATGTCATTGGAAATATTTGAGTTAAAATATTTTTCCTCCAAGATAGTGTTGATTTTCCAATTTGCTTTCACCTTTTATTTTCAGAGATTTATGACTTGTGGAACTACAGGGTGTATGAAAAGTCACAGACTAATTTTATTTTTTTCTGTCATATTTAAGATTTCATTTTTTCCAGATAATTTTGACATTATTTGATGCAGTAACTATTAGGGTTTCATGTGGCAAGGAAAATTTCATTAGTAAAACTCATTTGCACTAGTACCTGCTATGACGTTTGAAAGGGCCCAGTCCAGGTTTAGCTTTTATGAAGACAGATATATTCACCATCTGTGGATGGGTTGGCCCTGAACTGTCAACTGGCCAGCATGTAACCCTGACTAGACCCCTTGTAGTTTCTTACAGTGGTGTTATTTGAAAAGAAAAGTTAATAGTCAGTGACCAAAAACATTGGAAGAACTTGAGGGTACCATCCACTTGGAAGTTAATACCATTCTGTATCAGATGCTCCATGCAGCCTGAAAAAAATTCAAGCCAAGGATAAAAATTTTATTTGAAGAGAATTGCCATATTGAATATTATTGAGCATAAGATTGTCGATGTTTTGCAGTGAAACATTTCACTAAGAGTTACCGTTGAGTTCTTCCATGAAAGAATTGTGATACCTTTAATAAGTCCTTGACTTATTAAAAATGGAAAATAGTCAATGACTTTTCCTACACCCTGTGGCTGATTCTGAACTATTAGGGGAGTATGAAAGTCTCCCAATTCCTTAAATTTCATTATTTTATTTTATTTTTTGCTTGCAGGAAAGAAGACCAAAAAAGCAAAATCAACAGCCCAGAATCTCAAAATTGTTGAAGGAGACATCAAAGATGCTGAGGGTCAGATGAAGGCTGATGATATGGATGATGTTCCTATTCAAGTGGAAGATGCAGGAGACCTGGTTCCTGATGATGATGTGGAGGTTGTGGACATGGAAATTGATTCATCTGCTGAAGAAAATAACAGGGTAGAGCAAGAAGCCATGGAAAGCTTGTTTCAAGAGGTTGAAGATCGGCTTTGTATGAGTGAGAAGAGCAAGATCAATAACCAAGATGGACGGTATAACCAACGTGAGAAGCAATTCTTGCGCTGTCTTCGTGTCATCCTCAGCTTGGATGACTTGTTCAAACCTTCCTTGAGACAAAATATACGAAATCTAATGGCTGCAGCCAATCACGTACATGATAGCAAGAAAGCATCCTGCCTGGAGTTGCTCTTTGAGTCCATTGTCATCAACACTTTGGAAGAAGTATCTGAAGCTCTGACAGTTGTGATTGAGAATTCAAAATCTAGTGATCTAGATTTGGCTGATGGATTTGAGAATCTCAGTGATGCTGAGGAAGTACTAATGGATATTCATGAGTTTTGGTCTCTTATGCGTGATCTTGAGAAGGAACATGAGAAGCAGAACAGATTGCAGTCCAACAAAGAAGCAAATCTAACTACAGAACAGTCTTCTTCCTATGCCACCCAGACTGTGCTGAAAAGAAGCTCAGGAGCAGTACCAAAGAATTGGGAAACCAGTGCACAGAAGGAGCCTCAAAAGCAAGTTGACATTCAGAAAGTGTTAGCTTCACTAGAACCCAGTTTGCTTAGGGCAATTGCAAGCATGAAAGATCAGAATCTCTTTCGATCTAAAGACAGTCAGTCAGATATAACCCAGAAAAAACAGTATTTTATACCAGCAGCTGGTTCTCTCCTGGAATCTCACAAAAGGATTAGTTTGCAGGGGTCCACATCCAGTCATTCACTGGATTCACAGAAGATCAAAGGACCTCCTATGTACCAAGTACCAAGCCAAGCCATTCCAATCTCATCATCAAGTTCAATTTCACTTCATGCAAATCCATCAGATGCTTCCCTACAAGAATTGTCTTCTCCTCCTTCAGCTGCCTTAGAATCCAGGAGTAAGACTAATGGACAGGGATCTATCTCCATTCATCATAAACAGCATCATATAAAGGCAAGAGAATCTCCCTTTCATGGAGCAAAGGAGTCAGATACGGTGAATCACCTGAAATACATGGCAACTCTCATAAAACACTGGCCTTCTCTTCCTATGAATGTCAGGGTCAAGGTCATCCATTCTGTATCCATGCTAGAGAAGACTAGTTCAACAGTGTTGGAAGATATTGGGTGCAAAAAATGATTCCTGTGTCTCTTGTTGGGGTATTTTTTTTTCATTTCTCCTTGTGTCTCCCTATCATTTTCTAGCTCTTTTAAATTGTACTGTACTCCTCATCTTGTGTTCAAGCTTTCTAACAATTAATTGTTTGCATTTTTGTTTCTAGGTCCTTAGAGTGGGCTCTGATACAGGCATCTTTGCTTAAGATGACCAGTAATCCAACTCTGATATGGTTATGTGAAGTCTGAATCATTGGAACCTCATCATTGGAATTACTCTATTTCTTATGTTGTAACTTTTTGCTTTTACACACTCTTGATTGTCTTATGTCAGAACTTGCAGTGAGTGTTCCATTTTGTATATTCCCTCTTTATTTTCAGTGTGCCATTCTTCATCATATTTTTATTTGCTTACTTCATTGTCTTATAGTTGAGTCCCAAATTTCCTGTTTCTGCTTTGTGCACCTCTGTTGATCTGATGAAACTTGAAAAAGCAGCTGAGTCAGCTCATGATTGTGATGTTCATCAACATTAAAATCTTGATTTCTCTGTCCACCTATGTGACAGTTCTCATTTGCATTCCACTGGCATTGTATAGACATTTAAATTATTCTTATGTAATTTCCCCCACTCTGATTCAGAGTTATTATAGATGCTAAAAAATGAAGCTTGTCTCATTCCGTATGCAGGTTGCAATATGTTTTTATGGTGTTCTCTCTCTTGCAGTGAGCTGTGCATTAACCTGATAGATGCAGGGTTGATTCGCATTGATTGCAGTTATGAGTCATTTACCTCTACTTCCTTTCCTTCAATTTTTCCTTGTCTTTGATGCAGCCTATCTGTGTTACTCTATGAAAAGGTGTTTTTAAATGAAGTTTGCTACTGTATTGAGGAATGTTGCAATGAGCTTCATTTTATATTGAAAATTATAAATTTGTAATTCATTTGGAATGTTCCAATGTTCCAAGTTCAGGATTTGGATGAACCAGTTGAACAGAAAATGATGGAATAAATCATGAGCATATGTGAAGCTGCATAGATATATGCAGTATATATGCTATATGCAGTCCTACAATATAAGTACCAGCTAATGCAAAGAAAACGGTACCCTCTTTGAGGTTCTGTGACACCTATTGTAAAAAAGGCTAGGTTCCTAATATTTTCTTTATCCCTCCAAGAAAATACGCTAAAATTTATTTTTTTTTAGAAATTAAAGTCACCAAGTTGGATAAAAAGCAATTCCATCTATCTATATCATACATTTTCCATTGTCATGTTTGCAGTTTGCAGTGCATGGGATCCAAGGCCTTTGAGGCCCATCTTCAGGAACACAAGCACACAAAGGTAGGTATTCTGAGTAATCTTCCTTCCATGTAGGTCCCAAAGACCAGGAATGACTGGACAAGAGAACTGTATTAAATGGAGGTATCTCATGGGGTGAAGGGATTGTGACTTGTGAGGATGATAGAGTTTCATGCTGCCCCAAAGTTTCACATGTGATTGCCTATAATTTCTTAGTTTGTGGGAAGAAATTCTCAGAGACATAACTCTTTCCAAAGGCATTTTGTGGCTGCTCTTGCATTTGAGCCAAAAATCACTTCAAAAGGTCTACCACTTTGGTCAAATTGAGCAACTGATGAATCATTTAGCTAATTAATAGTTACTGAGATTCATCAGGTTTCAATAGGTTTTCAAGTCCCCCCTTGTGAATCCTATCAAGGCAGGGTGTTGAATGTCTTTGGACTTGATAGGTTGTTGATTTTTTCATTGTATTTCAAATAATTATGCATTTCTCCATATTTTTAAATCTTAATAAAGTGAAGAATTCCACTATAAATATTCATTAAAGATTAATAGAAAATAAAATCATCCTCTCTGATAATCATAATTACAGGAGTTCAGATATTGGTAGCAACAGTGGAAGACTGGTGCATTTTCCCTGGTGATGAACTTTTCATCTTTTCATCCATGAAGTGTGCACTGTTTCATTTGAAATTGTAATTTAAAGCCTGTGCTGCATGCTTTCAGGCAAGATACTTGCTCTGAGCTGACAGAATTCTTGGCATAACCATAACTTTTACAATATGATTTCCTCTTCTAAATTCATTTTGGCTGGACTGAGTCAATATGCCTCACAGAGAACCTGCTAGTTTTGGCCATTTCAGCTATATAAAAGAGTTAATATACAGGGTGGCCCAGAAGTAATAGGGCAGTTAGTGGTACAATCAGCAGTCACTACAATTTTTATTTGCAACCTTTATTATTAGTGATTATGAAATTAAAATAAAAAGCAATCAATAATCAAAATAAAAATAATAAAATTATAAAATTATAATTATAAAATATTGTAGTGACTGCTGATTGTACCACTAACTGCCCTATTACTTCTGGGCCACCCTGTAGATGACAGACCTGGGTGGAGATGGTAGATCAGAGAATTGGAATGAATAGTGCATGACCTGCTACACTTTGATGACTACCCACAGGCCCTTCAGTCACCCCCTGAAGCTTTCCCCCCTGACTTCAGCTTGCTCTGTTCAGACATGTAAAATGTTGATGGCAAAGGAAAGAGCTTCATGATCCCATATTGAGCAAATCATGCCAGAGAGGCTATATGAGTTCTGAGGGTTTTGAAGGAACAGAAAATGCAGGTCAAAACAAAGAGTACAAAACCTTGGGATTTCAGATCTCAATTTTAGAAAATGTAGGTCCAAGCTGGCAAGAGTACAGGAATATGGGTTAATGCAGAGAAAACAGGACCTCATAAATCCAGAAGCCTGGCCATGACTATTACGGTGAATTTTGTCAAACAACATGCTCAGGACCACAGGTGAGTGTCTAGTTGTGCCATTAGATCTTTTCCGTTTCGTGTTTTACCAGAGTTCTCAGCCCAGTTATAGAGTAGCAGGTGATCTTTGATCAAGAGTTCCTTCTTTCTCTCTTCTTCAACAGCATGTGGGCAGGTCTTTAGTCAGGTGCAGTGATTGAATGTATGACCAGCCCACCCAACTAATACAATGAGAAGGTCACTTGTCATTACATACTGATGTAGGAAGGGCATCAAAGTAGACAAAGTTCATATATTTCATGTTATATAAAGTCCTGACAGCTTTTGTGCTTCAAATAGTATTTAAAACAGCTGAATAACAGGTAGAAGTACAAATCATACTTTCTTGAGTACTCCTATAGTTCCAATGGCAGCCTCATGTTGCTCAAATCTACCTCAAGTATGGTGTCTTCATTTTGGTGGCTATAAACATAACCATCAAAATGAAGACATTATCATAGCATAGTGAATCATAAACATGTTTCACCATGTAATGATGATGTATATACTGACATACTACTTTTTCTTCCCCTCTATTTTCATTTAAATTCTTGGCCCCACTTACCACATTCCTGTTTGTAAGGAATGGATCTTTAGGATCTTTTAGTCACTAAAGGGTTAAAGTAGACATATATTTAGTAATCTTGGGATTCAACCATGCCCTGATCTACCAGCCTGCTCTTATGCCTGTTATTGCAATTCTCTTGCCAAGTGAAAATGTTTTGAAATCTTTTGGAAATATGCAAACAAGTACATACAGAATTATACCTCCTTCAGGGTTTGGAGTCTCATATCAATGAATACAAGCACAGGAAGAGGCTGAACAGTAAGAGAGAATTGAGATCACCCATGCCTGCAAGGAAGCAATCTGAAGGATCACATGTGTTTATCTGTCGAATCTATGATGTGACCTGCACATGCAACATCCCATTTGCTGCTCATATCAATAGGCATAAACATAAGAGGGTAAGTCTCTTGAGGTCTAATTTCTTTTCCTCTGGTTCATGGGATAATTTTATGTGGCAATTGTTGCATTGGGTTGCACTTTTTCTTCTGTACCTCTTGTAAGGGATTGTATTGCAAAGATCTACCTGGACAGTATCACTTCTATTCTTCTCAGTTAGACTTATAAGCCATTGTATTCTTCACTCATCTAACAACAGCAAATCTGTCTTTCCTTTTACTCTATCACTGTCACAACTAGTTAAAGTTTAAAGTTACAAACACCACAACAGGAACCGAAAACTTATCGATTTCAACATCCCTTGCACAAATTTCATACATATTGTTACTGTCATGCATGGAAATGATTATGATTTTAGTATGGATGTGTATAGGCTCATGCATACATGATTACATAATGATTGTATGATGACAGTCCTATGTTTAAAATTTGGAACATGTGAAATTTTGATCCATATAGGTGACCTCACATCAGATAATTTATTGCCAGATATATTTTAATGTCTATGTTTATTACATGTTGTCATGCATGATGACATATCAGTGCAGTAATGCATAATATTCCCATGGGATTTCATGCAGATCACATTCATGTTAAGTACTTGGCTTCTCACCCATTATCTTGTTCACGCACATTCCAATGTGCTGTTTTGAATGTGATGTTTCTGTGGAAATGGAAACTAAGTTGAACATGGAAATATTCAGGCAAAGGCCAGAGCCTATCTGTGCATTTAGTGATCATGTCCTTTGGCTACTTTCAGATATCTGACCCTTCTTGAGACCATTCTTGAAACTGTTGCCCTCTCTGGGAGTTGCTTTCCCTCTTCCCTTACAGTGTTTCCGGATTGACTTTAACTCCCCAACCCCCTTTCCGTGGCGCTGTTGCCTGCAGTGAAGTGAGAGACGTCTTGTCTTTATCATCATAACTAATGACGTACTTATAAGTTTCACAAGCAGCACAACGGTAGAGGTGTAAGTGGGTCGGATCTTAAGATCCCGTTTTGACACTGCCTGCGTAAACATAAAGTGAATATTGCATAATAAGAAAATTAAAAACGCTGCTGGAATTCATATCGACTCGGGCCGAAACTGTACCATTTGGCGGCAGGGGTCATGAAAAAATGGAAAAGACAAGTAAATACAGGGACTTGAAAGGACACGATGAGTGTCCTCTCTCTCTCTCTCTCCCCCCCCCCCCCCCCCCCCCCCCCCCCCACCCACCCCCCCNCCCCCCCCCCCCCCCCCCCCCTCCCTGATAATGTAGATGGGCTACGGACTTCATCATGGGATTGTGAGATTTTCATTGATAAAGATATTTTATGAGTGAAAGAAAAACTTGGAAAAGAAAACCTCCAATGATACCGAGGAAACGATACCGAGCATATTCGCCTCGGAAATTAGCACTTCTGTAAAGAGTGCTAATGTACATGCAAAAGATATTGAAATCATTTGGCGCACGTCAGCAGGACCTCCTATATGTCTGGTCCTCTTATATTCGGCCAGTTCTTGAGTACGCCTGCGCTTCCTGGAACAGCTCCCTACCCGGCCGAGCCGTATTTGCCATCGAACAGGAGCAAAAGTGTGCCCTACGCTTAATCCTTGGGCATAAATATGAAACTTACGAAAAGGCCTTGTCGACCCTGGGCATCCCATCCTTGCAGAAAAGACGACTGGATCTTACATCTAAATATGCCCATGCCCTCCTTAAAAAAACCATCGCGACGGCAGGCTTTACCTCCCTACCGACAATGCCCACCCATGAACCTGACAAGAAACATCTCATCTCTCTTGCAAGAGCATAAGTGTCGCACGCGCAGATTCTACCAGTCAGCAATTCCCTTCCTGACCTGCTTGATAAACCAGAAAACTGCCAGAGAAGACCGCCACACTGGCTCAGTACAAACCCCATAATTTTGTTACCCTTTGACGATGGAATGCAATTTGCTGATGCACACTTATCCCAGAATCATGAATAAACGACTATTATTATTTTATTTTTTTTATTTTTGTTATTGAAATCTTCAATCAAACCTGTTTAAATGTAACTAATTACTTCCATTGAGCTGAAATATATGATTTTGTCATATACTTTGCACATAATACTT